ACCACCTGCGGAGCTCGGTTACACAGTGCCTTCTCTGCAATAAGCCTCCGTCATATTGCGGGCACCTCGGTCGGGATTCGAACCCGCCACCTGAGGACCTGTAGGCCGGTGCTCTCGCCTCAGAGCCACCGAGGCGGCTTCTGATGTGGGAAATCACTTATTGGGTTGGGGTGAAGGCATGTTTTTGCATCCACATACGTCATGTGCACGCAGAACTTCACACATTCTATGCTCACCAGTTCGTTGCAATGACATGCTCTTAAATCGTAATGCAGATATTTTTTTCTTCCTTTTTTACTTTTTTTGTTTCTCTTTATAAGCCTAAGCAGTCAATGTAGTCCACTTGTTTGCTCTCGTAAATGTCTCTGTCAGGGTTTCTTTTGGTACACATTTTCATAAAATTTGGCTGATAAAACACTGTGTTCAAAAAGGTTTTGGCAGAGCTTTGGTGGGCCGATACAAATTTTTTTTTTTTTTGAGTGGGTGCATTTTTTTAGTTGCACTACCTGCACCGGTGTGAAAAAGTGCAATGTGGTGTACTTCTGGCATGTGTAAGAAAGTGCAAGGTGGTGTACTTCTGGCATGTGTATCGAGATAGAACCGTAAATACATTGCCCTACAATTTTCTTCACCAGTGCAGGTGTGGCTAAAAAGATGCACCTAGAGTCGGTGACAGGTCAAGAACGAAGTGGAAGCTCCTCCCACCCTTTTCCACTTCAGCCGAGCAAACGTTAAAGGGCAACTCCGGTCCATACTTTCGGTTTTGGGATTATGACTGTTTTTAGTCCAGTCAGCGTCCCTGAACTGCAAGGTGCAATTTTTTTCTCGTTATTGTGCGTAGTTCTACAGATATGGACCCCTCAAAGTTTTGTTTGGGGCGCGGCCAACAAACCCGAAACTAGCCGCTCGAGGCTCCGGCAACGCTCGAAATCAACCGCTATGTGAACGTGACGTCAGGATCGTTCTCGTTCAACGAGCACGCACGCCGAGCGCCACCTACCTCTGTTGCGCTAGCCGTCTAAAGATAGGAGGTAAGCTGATTTTGTTTTAATTCTGTATACGTGGTAGTTATCCAGCATATGTAGCAAGGGCTAGTGCATATACCCAAAAGCTAGCGACTGGAAAACCCGTGAACTCGTACGATTCCGTACTCGGCGGCCGCCGCCATGCGTGCGCTATGCCGTACTCCTCGCTTGTATACCCAAAAGCTAGCGACTGGAAAACAAGTGAACTCGTTCGGTGCCGTACTCTGCGACTGTCGCCGTGTGTGTGGTCTTCCGTACTCGTCGCTAGACCTAAATTGTCATCGGGGCTTTGTGGATGGAGCGGCGTTGCTCTACGCTGTGCTGCCAGTGACGTACAGTACTGGGGGCCCTCTCACTTTCGCGCTGCGGGTCAGTCCCAGACACGAAGCTTTGAGGCTCTACGGCGCGAGCTGCGGCGGCCGAACACACGAGTGCTGGGCTGTACACCTCTGTTTTTTCGTTCTTTTTTCCTCGGGCGCATAAAAGCCGAAGTCCAAAGTCCACTCATCGAACAGCGTTCACCCACACTTTCTTCAATTTCCGGTCCGTTCGAAACTTGTGAAGAAGCACCTCCGGGTTGCACAGCGGGTTGTTTGAGCAGCCCACAGCGCTACAAGTTGCGCTCGGCATCTTTCGAGGAACAGCTGGGCAGTCTTGGGCGCACCGAGTTGCTCGCTAAAACGAGTCTTGAAGTCCTCACAAGCAAATAAACAAAATTCTATACCGAAGCTACACGGGCTACAGATAAAAGCAACGGCTAAACACGCCAATCGCAAGCCGAAGTAGCTGTGGTAGTGGCTCAAAGAAGCGCACTACGCGCAACTCCTGGACCAGAGGAAAAAAAGAGAAGGATACTGACGTCACGGCCCAATGTTGCTTTGGCGATCGACAAACCGCTTGCCGCCCGCTAAGGAGCAGCGGCTTGCGGCGGGTCGCATTTTTATTATCGGCATTAGTTGAGAATGCGGCGTCCCACGGACGTAATATTTTGGCTGGGGTCGTAATTTGCAGAGCAGTCGCTTTCTGGTATGGGATCGCCATTGTCGCGGCTTGGTTTGATGGCAGAGTTATTGCTTTTTGGTGACACCATGTTCCAAAACTTCCTTGGGTTACCATTCAAAATAAACAGCGAGTCATAAAAACAAAACTTAGCCAATTTCAACTTTTTATTGTAGTTTTTAAGGGCAAAGTTATAAGCACCCAAAGCTTGAGGTGTTAACACGTTTAGCCTTTGCAAATAGCCTTTTCTTGTTATGCAAAAAGAGCAGCATTTTGGTGAATCATGGGTTATTTGAATCAGTGCATACTCAGGCTGTCGGAAGAAACATATTTATAAGACTGTTCATTTTAGCTTTAAATAATGCCGGTTTCCTCTACTGATGGAAGAGGACAATTTAAATGTAATGGTCAAAAAAGATTGTCAACCCATGATCTATTCATCTATAATCAGCCTCATTATAATCGCGAATGATCTTGGAAATAGAATGTTTGACGAGAACGGAGTGGCAAGTCGACATGTTGTAACCTATAATCACGGAGCCCGTCGCAGTATTGAATGGACTTGACAAGGTCCGGTGACGTAGTTAGTGCAGGGGTGGAACTCACGAAATGTCCTTGGGAACAGCCACGGGAGCAACTGAAACAGCTGTTTAGGAGCAGGTTGGGAGCAGCTAAAACTATGTTCTGGAGCAGGCTAGGAGCAGCTCAGATCAGTTTTCATTGCACTTCAGCTTGTGTCTTAGACACGCACGGGAGCAATTTCAATCGTGCTTAGCAGCACAGATTAACATGAGTGGTTAGGGACCTAGGTAGATGGGATAACAGTGTAAAAGGTGTGAAAACTTGAAACTTTGTGAGCCTCTATACTTTCCAGACTCGTACGTAACGTGTTACAAGATTACTTGTAACTGATTATTTTTACTGCAATTTTGTGACGCTTCGATTACTTCCTTTAAGGGGTAATGATCTTTTTAGTTGAATTAATTTTTTGCTGTAATCGATTACAAAATTACCCCCCTTACAATCTTCCTCATTTCTTTTTTTTTTTTTTTTTTTGGGGGGGGGGGGGGAGTTGGAGTTATTCAGCTCCGGGCAACGGGCTTTTTTTTTTTTTTTTTCGAAATTATTAAGCACGAGGCTGTGAGGATTAGTAGGCCACTTTACTATGCTTCTTTTTCGTGGGTACATTTTTATTTCTACACCGGAGACTACTTATGGGTATGAAAAATGACTTTATCTAGCCTCTTGTGAGGGATTAGGTGTGTGCCATCACTCACTCAGCTTTAAGCGCGAAACACACGTACAACCAAACCGTCCGATCCGACGTGCGGACTGCCGGAATGACCTTGGGGGGCGAGGGGGTTCCGCAGCATCGGAGAGCGTTGAAAACCCTTGCCTCCGACCGTCGTATTGCGCGGTCAGACGTCGGATCGGACGGTTTGGTTGTACGTGTGTTTCGCGCTTTAAGCAAAAACAGTCGAGGCTTTCTTTTTTTTTTTCTTTAACAACTGAGCGCGAGATTCCACGGATTATGCTATCATAAAAAAAGTTTGAATGAAAAGTAACGTGGGAAGTAATTGCTTACTTTAGAGTAATTTTTCGATTACTTCTTTGAGGCTGTAATTGTAATTGTAGTCGGGTACTTTATACAGCAAAGTGATTGTAACTGTCATCGGTTACTTTTTCAGTGACGGGTACAAGTCTGATTATTTTCTTAGTGGCTTTCAGCTGCTCAAAATGCAAACCAGCTCTGCTTATCACACAACCCACACGTGCTCGACATAGTACTTATATGTGCGAACCACGTGACGTGCGTAAGCAACGGACGCGGAGTTGCGCGGAGGAACAGGGCACCAAATTTCGAGTTTATCCTATTGTGCAACTGAATATCGAAGCAGCAGACTACGATTAACGAAGTTATCGTATTCGAAGTGACAAGCAGGTGCAAGGTTAAAGTACACCAAACAGATCTACCGATCGCGTGAAAGCTGCTGGCCGGCAAGGTTTCGGATCGGATCACGTTTCAGTTCTATCAAATCACGATTTATCTTGCGGGAACGCGGTTCCAACTTCTAACGATAAAGTACTAAAAGTTTGAGGACACATGCGAAGTAAAAAAACATTTTTTTGTAGACAGACCAGATGGAAAAAGAATGTTATAAAATAAAATTAGAACGAAGAAAAAAAAATTTTAGAGCTATATTGACGGCACAAAATGATTTTGTAGTTGCGCCCGTGGGAGCCGCCGCAAGTCATGTGATAGACCTGTGCGCCGTCTCAAAGTCGACTCACAGTCACGCCGCCGCTGCACGCTGAGCGTGGTGCGCCGCCGTCAACTCATTTCTCCACACCGCCACCGCCGCGCAAGTTTGTCTACCCCGCAGCGCTGCCGCCGTCATCTGACCGGCACACAGGTCTATCACGTCTGCTTCCGCTTTTTCAGGAGCTTTCTTTGGGTTCGAAAAGTTACCGATTAATCTTTGTGTTTTGTTGCACTTGAAATAAAGATGAATAACTAACTTTTAGAGACCATAGGAAGCTTCCGATAGAGCGGAAGCACCACGTGACAAATAGCGACCAGTCACGTGACAACTAGCAGCCACTTTTCCGCAGCGCCCGCCGGCGCCAACTACAAATTCGTATAGCGCCGTGAATATAGCTCTTAAAATTTTTATTTTCCTTGTGAATTCGTTTTATGACTTCCTTTTCCCAACCAGGCTGTTTAAAAAAACTTTATTAGTCCTTTGCATGTGTCCTTTAAGAAGTGCTCGAGCTTCCTTAGGCTTCCTTGCTGGAAATCCTTTGTATTCCTGTTACTAACAAGTGCACCAAGTGAGACACTTCGGCCATTATTGAACACTTTGAATAAACAAATATGAATAGTTGGAAGATGTTACAAAGCAGTCTACATTGATAAAAATTCCTTCTTTCTGCATGTCAAGTTCGCTTGTGGCGTAGTCTAAGATTACTACGACATACCAGTTAAGGAAAGTTGGTCTTCAAATGCGGACACCACACGCGAGCCACAGCGAGCTACAATGGGGAGCAGTGCCACGCTTGAGAAGCCCATCGAGGCACAGATGTTGTTTGGTCTAGCCACAGTTTACAAAATGGCCGCTGCAGCAAGAACAGCGGGACTGCGACTGCTCGCTTTTAACAATTCTGCAAAGCGGACACCTATGGCAGTTTTTCAACTGAGATGTTCAAGTAACGGTGGTGTAACCCGTGCCAAAAATGAAATGGAGCATAGAGACCCACTTTATTCGGCTGGCGGATGGAGATTCTGCACACCGACGAGCTGAAGCACTAGCGAAGTCAGTGCGGACGACTGGTGCGCACTTGCTGCTGCTTGTCCCTCTACAGCCTGCAGGAAAAGGGGAGCGCATTATGCACAAAATGCAAACTGTTACGCAACACATTAGTAAAGTTAAAAGCACGCCAGAGGTTTTCAGACGCGTTGCAAGCAATACTATAGGAAACTTTTGCCAAACAACTTTTCACCTTGGTAAGCTCTGTGCAGTCATGTTGCAGAGCAGTTTTCACCATTCACCTTATTAGATTACTCGTAGACAACGAGTTACTGGCATTTTAGGTGCTCCTAAAGCACAGAAGAAAAGAGAATGGCTGTGTTAACGAAAGAAGTCGAGAAGTCTGATCAAAGGCGTATGTGGGGCGAGTAAATCCACCCTTACTCTGTTCTCTTTCCCCTTTGGAGCTGCCTTGGTGGCGTCCTTGCCTGCGCTTGCGAATGATGCATTTTAGTTACACTGACGGCAGAGTTGCCGCGTGACAAGTCCTTCAGTAACGAGGCCAGTTTCCTATAATTACACGAACACACGCTGGTGGCGGAATATTATTTATTTGTTTCTTTAGTTACTTAGAATTACCCTCAAGGCCCCGAAGGGCATTACAAAGGGGAGTGCATGGTTAGTACAGTTCTGATTTTAGCGTTATCGGTGATGGTGACAATATCATCTGGAAGGCCATTCCAGTCTACAATAGCTTCTGGTAGAAGGGAATGTTGAAATGGTCTTGGGAAGGGTAATCTTGCACGAATGATCGAGTCTTGCAGAGATATAGCTGGGCTGGCTGAGGAGAGACTGTCGTAATGGTTCCGAATAGTACATTTTATGGAAAGGCAAAGACGGGAAATTCTGCGACGAACGGAAAGATCAGGAAGAGCTAATTGACATTTCATTGCAGTGACACAAGAAAAGCGAGACTAATTAGAAAAAATAAATCGAGCAGCACGATTCTGGACAGATTCGATTTGCGTTAGTTAAAAAAAGACTGATGTGGGTGCCAGATAGCTGAAGCATACTCTAGTTTAGGGCGAACAAGCATGGCGTAAAGGAGACGTTTAAGGATAGAAAAGGCAGAGTTGAAATTGCGACAAACAAAACCGAGTGAGCGGTTTGAGGATGATATTGTCTCGTCGACATGAACATTCCTGGATATATTAGTGGTTAAACGAACGCCTAGATATTTTTACTGTGTAGCAGTCAGAATGGTAGTGCCATTGAATGTTAACGAGTTTAAGGGCTGGAAGCAAGAATGTGTAAAGCAAAGGTGTGTGCATTTGCTAATGTTGAGACACATCTGCCATGTGTGACACACTGCTTCAAGAGCTTTTTTATATAACTTGCGATTCAAATAAAATGAAATTTACATGGCTTATTTGGCATTACAATCGGACTACAAATATGTACTTTGTTTTGAGGTAACCTAATTAGATTTATTAATATTAAAAATTTAATTTGCAATGATTATGGAAAGGATTAACGCAAATTAAAATACTGAGCTCAGAAAATAAACATAGATCAGTGAACTGAGAGGTATGTGCAATCCAATAAGGTATAAATGAAAGCTCTAGGATGATTTATAAATTACTTATGACACTTTTGAACCTTCCAGTTTCAAAATCATTTTTTGCCGGATGCCTAAAAGGCACCCACAAAAAGCCTGACAGCCTATTTAATATATTTGTAGCCCTCATTCAATATGTCAAAAATCCTTCAGGACAAGATGATAAGTGCTTGCCAAACTTCAAAAAACACATTTTTAAAAATGTGTTTTCTTAGTAAAATTTTGCTTCAAAGAGCAGTGTCTCCCCTTAAATGCCGTTCTGGAGTGCAACATGGTCATATGGGTTTTTTATTAGTCTATAAACAGCACAGGTCATCAGTGAAAAGATGAACAGAGGATGAGATGTGAAGAGGGAGATCATTAATGTAGATTAAAAAGAGCAAAGGCCCAAGCACAATTTCCTGTGGAACACCGGAAGAAACGGGAGAGAAAGAGGAGGATGTGCTGTTAGTGAAAACGAATTGAGAGCGATGAATAAGGAATGATTCAATCCACTTAGGAACATGAGGATCTAGTTTTAGGAAAGAAAGTTTAAGAAGAATGCGATTGTCCGGGACTTTAGCAAAAACTTTGGCGAAATTAAGCAAAACAGCGTCAGTAGGAAAGCCGGTGTCAAGATTTTTAAACAAATCGTTAGTTATAATAAGTAGTTGGGTCCCAATAGAAAGGCGTTTCCAGAGGCCATGCTGCACATTGGTGAAGAAATTGCAGGAATCCAGGAAGTTAATCAGGTGCCTGTAAATGACATGCTCGAGGATCTTGTAGAGGCAGGTGAGTGATATTGGCCTACTTACTAATTTTCCGGTCAGAGGGCAACACCCCTGTGTCCACGGACTGCTCAAATATCTTTGAGGTAAAGACCGGATGAAAATTTAGTGTTAGTGAGAGCCTTCGTAATGATTTCCTCTATGCCACATGATGGAGATATTTTGAGGGTTTCTATACCGCTGAAAACACCCTGAATGTTTATAATAATTGAATCCATTGGAAAATCATTCTCTATAACAGGAGAAATTCCAGTAATGGGTGTAGAAATAGTGAAAGCATCAGAAAACGCACTATTTAAATATTCACACATTCACTATTCAATATGTTATTACAAGAGCTATTCACTAGATTAATTTCAGAGTACAAATCTCCAAAATTTGCGAGGGTTGTTTATTAACATATTAGGTAGAGCTTGCAGAAAGAATGTCTGCTTAGAGTTATCAGAAAGAATGTGTGCTAACACCCCTTTAACATAGTTTTTTATTCGGAAGAGCAAGTGGCAAGCTTAGGCCAAGTATTTCCTTTTTTAGCGCTCCTGAAACATCTTTTCTTTTTATGAGATAAACGATGAAGTGGATTATTGAACCACGGTTTAGACGTAGTAGTTCGGATTGTCGAGCACAGTATGGTAATTTTCAATAAGTTGAAAAAATTTTGTCTCAAGGCTTGCCAATTTTTATTAGCATTATGGCACTGGAAGGTTTCATTGAAATAAACAAAATAAAGCCTTCGCTGTTGGACACTTCAAATACACATACAAATCATATCTGGTTTCAGTTTGAGTCTAAGAACACTGCCTTCTAACTTAACTGGCTAAAGTAGGGTTGACCAAAATCAGCCTAACAACAATAATTGGGAGTGCACTACACTACAGTTCTCTTAACACCTACGCTTGCAAGTCGACGGAGTGCATCGACTGCCTCTCTCTGCACGAGCAGCATTTCCTGCTGAACTGCCAGCTGCTGCTGCTGGGTGGCCAGCAGACCCTGCTGTGTGGCCAGCAGTTCTCGCTGGACAGCCAGCTGGTCCTGCCGAATGGACAGCAGATCCCGTGCCGTATCAACTCCAGACCGTTCGTACCATTCGGTGGTAGGGGGCATGCCACTTGCGCAGGACGTTCCTCCTCTCCTCCCTTTGCCATGTCGCCTTCAGCCACAGACCCCTGCATAATATAATTCAACTATGTAACACGCCACAACGCTATACAGCCCTTCTAGTTATACCTGTGTCTAATAGTGTGCACCCTAAACTCAATATTATTTTTTTTTTTCGAATGTCACGGACTTATTGTCTCCGAGTGGGTTTAGAAATGTGCTGCAGCCCCGATATCCAAGCTTTCGTGGAAAACACCACGAGGCAATACATTCGCACCACATTGTTTTGTACATTAGTGTTCAATAAGGTAAAAAGCAACATGGTGTCTGCTCATGATCCAAGAGATTCACGGTACTTATCGAAGCTGCTGCTGCAGCCGTGAAGTCCCACAGCGGCGCGTCCACTGTCGGGGGCGCACGCCCGCCCCCTCGAGAGAAATCCGTCCCCACAAAAAATAATAATTTTTCTTGCTCCGCGTTTAGGGACGGCCCATCACTCGCGCCCCCACCGGCATACCTGCCAACCTGTGGACATTAAAATTCGTAAAACTCACGCAATTGCGGGGGGGGGGGGGGGGGGGGGGGGGGGGCTGTTTCGCAAGGTGGCAAGGCTTAATGTCAGCCTTGTCACCGTGCAAAACGCTTACATTACACGTGCACGTGCTACAGAATCCAAACTTCTCTCCTTTTTGGACGGCACAAAGCACTGGAATTCCGACGTGTAGGACTTCAAGAACACCTGAAAGTACCTCTTTTTAGGTTTGGAATTTGCCATTGCACCGCGAAGCCACCGCAACCAGGGGAATGCTATGATTACACGTGTAACAAACACAGACGCTGCACTTCTCGCCTCGAAACTGGCCGAAACAGAGGCCCAACCACGTCTGAACACGCCAAACCAACATGCGCCGCCAAACACACAAACAAAGGCTTTGGGCTTTGGATTGATTTTGGATATGTGGCCCCCGGATAGACGGATAGTAAAAACCACAACGCTGCCGTGGACGGCACCTGTCGCCCTCTTGTGGCAGTGTGAGGTACCGCCAGCAACGGTTTTACGAAAAAAATGTTTAAAAAAATAGAAATAAAAAAAGTATCTTTTTTTCGTAAAATTTGAAGCAAGATTCGTAAAATCGTAGAATTAGTCCCAATTCATACATTTTACAAAAAATTCGGAAGAGTTGGCAGGTTTGCACCGGTCTTCTGTTAGGGACACGAGACTCTCAGGTCGCAAGCCCACGTCTGGCATGCACGTGAGTTCCAGAAAGTTATTCTTTATGGCCGAAGGGCATTTAACTCTCAAACTATTACGCCCCATAGTGTATCTCGCTCCTCCTTGGTAACAAAGCTCTCTGTAGCAGTCCCCGAGAAAACTCGACTTTTACCGAGAAAGTCCAGGAGAAGCGCAAACTGTCGTGCCGAGACGTAGCGACCTAGCTTGCGCTTCTTAGCGTTGTCGGCCACAACTGTCTTCGCAACGTAAAGGGTTGTAGTTAACGTTGATTGTATTCATTATTTCAGTACATTAGGTACTAATTCATGCAACCAGATTTCAGGAATATATTTTTTAATTTTGTCTCATGCTATTCATTTTGCCAACTTAAAAATAATATTTTTACTGTTATACTCACCGCGGTGTTTTGAGATTCTTAGTGGGGACACTTTAAGGGAAAAATCCCGATAGAGTTTCAACTCAGTCGTGCGTGCTGACCGACGTCACAATGGAGTTGGTTCGCCGGTGGAGTTTGCCAAAGATGGAGATGAAGCTGCTCCCATTGGCAATCCCACGAAGGAGATTCACCACTGCTTCTTTCAGCATAGACAGACGGGCGATGAGGTCAGAGGGGATGCACCTACCGAAGAAGCTGCATCACAGAGGCTAGCCTCACCACGTCATGTCATGGCCCTGCTCTTTTCAGCATGTTATTTATTATATTGCGCCAGAAAGCCAGCGACATCAGTACCTGGGCTAGTTGGTGCCACTGATCTCTGTTGTAGTAAGCTGGATCACGGATCGAGGCTCGTCTTAATAGGGAGGAGTGGTGCCACCAGCGCCCATCACTTGACATTGGCTAATGCATAAAACTCTATGGGAAAGACAAAGAAAAGTGACGTTCCCCCGCTCGTAAACTGTTGTCGTCACTGAATCTTTTGGCTGCTGTCGGGAAGCCTGTCAAATAGCTAGTGCAGAAACATTAAAACTGACAACCCTCGCGGTTGTTATATAGAGATGTTTTGTTGTCGAGAGTGACTCTACTGGGCAAAAAATGTAGAGCAGCTCACTGAGAAGAGAGTTACCTAGAGGTACCTCGGAGTCGGTGGCGGTTTCAATGAGTCGGGTTTAGCAGGTGACAAGCTTGAAGGCTCTGCTATGATTTCGCTCACTCCCGGAAAGACGCTGCCAATATGGAACTTTGTTGACGTTCAGCAACTTCTGGGCTCCCCCACGACGGCATTATTGACAGCAAGTTTATTTGTTCACTCCACCACGAGAGCAAGCTTGCCAGATCAGCCATGGGTGCTATAGCACAATATTCTAATGGGCATTCGAATGCTTGAGAAATCGCAATTCAACCTCCAAACACACAATAAAATTATTGCAGCACATCGTAAAATACATGCCTTCGAACACTGTGTAGAAGCTTTAATTTCCTTCTTTTGTGTGTTTCTCCCATAGACTTGCGTGTATACACGACTTGCATTGACGTCACATCAGCCACCATTGCTGCGGACCATGCTCCAGTGCCCGTACCTTCCGGAGCACACATTTAGGACCAATGAATTTCTTCCTCTCGGAGAACTTTGCGGAGAAGAACAGATTCGATGCTGCCAAAATGTATGTTCCAGAGGGTACGGGCACAGGAATGGTATGGAGCCATATGACGTCCCGTGCAAGGCACGTATTGCTTGGTGCCAAGCAATGGCTGCCGGTGGCGCCACCGACAGACTTCCGATTTGAATCCAGCCTACTACAATAGAGACCAGTGGTTGGTCCACGCTTCAAGAAAATTGGTCTATGCGTAGGTTTACTCAGCTGCACAAATTTCCGTAGAACTATGGCAGCAGTTGAAGAAACGTTTAGGGTTCCTGCCACATGACAATGTTGGATGCGCAAGAAGCAAATGCCCGTGGCTCAGAGTCCGGTAGAGGCAAATGTGCAGCCCTCCCCGTTGCAACCTCCGAGGCGGAGTTGCGGAATTGCACACAACTGTTTTTAACACTTCGACAAGTCGCGCGAGCGAGTTGCGTGAACTTCTCGTGCCGCAGAGCACGTGAGCTCGGCAGCTGTCCAGAGTGATGAGCGAAGATTGTGGAATCAGGGCTGCCGAAGCGGCATGTACAGCCGTTACGATCAGACAGGAGCACGTCGCTTTGAAGAAAGCAGGCCAGCAGATAAGAAAGGACGTGGTTGCACACTGCACAGTTCTGACGTCACCCGTGATAAAGTTTTCGTGTCATCGACCTCCAGACCAAGCGGGCAGAGCTATACGTAGAAACCATGGTGTAATACGCCACGTCCTGTCCAGTTCTCCCTTCTTTTTCGTCTCTGTTGTTTTGGTGTTTTACATCATGATGCAAAACCAACTAGCCCAACTAGCCATCCTTATACACCTTTCCAAAAAACACTCAACCCCAGGGGCAACAAACTGTTTTCGAGCCCAGTCACTGAGTTTGAGGCTAGACTCTCACCAGCGTCCCTCCTAACCCTAACCGAGTGGACTGTGATGTCAATAGGCGCAGCCTGTGTAGGCGCAGTTTCAAACACTGCTGGCGGATAAATTATCGTCGTTTCCCGCTATATTTTGTGTTTCATGCTACAAGTATTTTCCCGAGGACATTGAGAAAGAATTGTCCCACATTTAAAAAAACAAAAAAAAACTAAACTATTTTTGTTGGGTACGCGCGCGACAGAACGAGTTCGATTGGAATGTATAGTTCTAGTTGTTTGTGTTTATTTCTTACGATAAGCTTTGACGGCGCCGCAGGATTCACCGCATGTGAAACGACAAAGCGCTTTGCTGTCAAAAATAAATTGCAACAGAAGAGGGCCGAAAGGCATGCATTTTTCATGCTCACAAATAACGTGTTTACCGATGGACAGGACACGGACATACAATTGAGGAAGTGGTAACATTCAAACAATATATCGTACGTACCACACGATGCAGCGTTATCCGAAAAGAATTTATTTGAGAAAGATCTCAAATAACACAGTCACAGTCGACGACAGTCACATCTTGATGATCGGACGGAATCAGAGATGACTTCGTCTCGGGGCCCGTTTTGGGAAGAGCTACCTTTTCTCATAACCGCACCAAAGCAAAGAAACAAACGCGACTGACCCGTTTCTCACCCCAACCCGGACAGCTATATTTGGAGACGACTGAGGATTCTACGCGGATTATCTCTGGGAGGGGGAAGAACAATGTTTGCAAAATCGCGTCGAGGGTCGTTCGACGTCCTTCACCTCCTTCCTTTCCCGTGAATGTCGAGCAGAAAAGCTTGAATGGCAGGTACTTACCAGCCTTATTTATCACAGTGGAAGATAACACAAAAAGGGTACGCAGCACGCATAAAAAAAATTAAGTGGAAACTTTCAAGAGGGGCGAGAAAACATTGAATGCAAAACCGCAAAAACATAGGTAGAGAACCACGCCGAGCGGGTCTTCACAGTCCCAGAGGGTGGCAGAAAATTTCTAGCTGATAGAGGGCGCGAGAGTCGCACCAGCCGCATCAGCATCAGCAACATGGCAGTGGCCTAGGAGCGTTTTTTGGAAAGGTGTATACATAGAAAGAGTTTGGCCATTCATTGGAAAGTATAGGAAGCAAATGAAGAGGCGCCATTGGCCGAAAGCGGGCTGGGCGTGTCCCAGGGCGTCTTCACAGATTTGAATGTGGCCAGCCAGAAGCCGCAAATAATACCTGGCAGTGGTCGCGAGAAACAAAATTAATAAGTGCGTCGGACTAACCCTTGGCGAATGAAAACATGATGCATGTGATTGTACTATCACGGTCATACAAAATCAATATCTAGGAGAACGGTCGACATGATCTGTATGCCAGGCGTCTGAGCCACGTCCGAGCGGTCAGACTCTGTCCGAGCAAAACGGAGTTCGAGCGGGACATTCGATTCTTACACCTTTTTGCACGATCATAATCGAAGCATCACGTAGACTATATTTTCAGCCATAAACAGTTACTCTATTAAACTCTTTGGCACAGGTTAAAATTTTTCGCGCTAACACTGCTAGGCGATTATTTGCGGCTTCTGGTTGGCGTGTCAAGCCTTCTATCTGCGTCTCGTACACGCCCTGGCTCTGCCCGCTTCTCCTATACATGCCTTGCAAGTGACGTCGCGCTAGGGAACATCTAGGGAAGGACGGGACCCCGCACCATACTGGTGGTTGACTTCACACCGCGCGGATGCGCTTACCAAGGCGTAGGATGTCGCTATCGGTCCAGACATGCGCTAAAATACACCACATTTTCAACAAAGGTACCGTGAACTTAGAAAAACGTGCTGAGCTTACGATGATGACGTTTATCCAGTACGTGCGGAATTTTTCGGCATTTGTGCGATTGCCCTACGAGCAAAAAGTTTCGAAATGCCGCCGACGAAGTTTTGACGCGAAGGGCTGCCGTGTCGCCAAGAAAAGAACACAGCTTAACTGCACGCTTCATTATTTGACGAGTGGCTCTAGGAGTCGCTTGTAGAAAAATTGTTACGATTTTGCGAAATATTGGTAAACAACGCAATGTTACCGTCATAACCTTAACCCCGAGAAAAGGATAAGTCAAATAACGGACAAGAAACTCTCATCGTCTCTCAGGGCTTATATTATGATGTTATCCTAACCGGCTCCTCTGCATACTTTCGCTCCTTGCAAAGGTTACCG